AAATCATTTAAAAGAACTTAAAACTAGTAACTAACTTTCTTATCCTTGATCTCGCTCGATTGAATCCATGTCTTGATCTGATCCCTATACCTTTGCAGCTTCTTGATTTCCTTCTTCAAGTCAGCCTCAAATTTTTCCTTCTGATTTGCGTTATCGGTATCATAAACCTAAACCATACGATAAAAAGGAAAACCAAAAATCAACACTTGACAATCAATTTGCTCCACGGAAAACTAATTACTTGACAAAAATAAATTATTTACATTATTTAACACCTCTTTCTTCCTCTTTTATCAAGATAAATCTGAAAACAAATTGAATCATTAATAAAGAAAAAATACAAACAAATTCAATATATTTCCAAACACACTTCAAAAAGTAACGAGACAATAGTTAACAAATGTTAGCTTTAATTTCATAGGAACTACAGTTGACTACCATTGTTTAGAGTCTACTTTCCCGCAATCTCTCGGGAACCAAACAAGAAAAGAGAACAGAACAGAAAAAAGTGACTTATTTGAAATGATGAAATCCTAATGGTAAACCTTGTTCCAGATGCTATCGAACACATCGACACCTTCCTGGACTTTCTTGAGAACACGATCTATCTCTCCTTGTAGCTTGCGACTAGCTCCCATTTTTTGAATCGGGATGTTATCGTGTCGACTTAAAGAGAATTTATCATCCAAATGATAAAATCGTAAACCCTAGCCGAGACTGATTGCTCGATCGTTTCTAGTGAAATTTTGCGTTAGGTCGTGAGATTTGATATCGTTTCGCTCTTTTAGGGCATTTATTTATCGGATAAAATATACAAATAATCCCACAACTATAAAATATTATTTTATTAAATATTTCGATTATTAAAATTTATAAAATAATTCATTGATTATAGAGAGTTGGTTTGTTAAATTCCTCGACTATTAAAAGTTATAAAATTGTCATTGTATCTTAAATTTATCCTTTTTTATTAAAAAAAATTGAAGATAATCTGAGCTAAACTAACCTGTTGACTGAAATTTCAAAAAATGAAAATTTAAAGATGAAACTAACAAGTTCCCATCAGAAGTTGTTAAAACATTCATTAATCATTTTAGGTAAACTAAATCAGTGTTATAAAAAATTAGGATAAATTACATTAATTATAAGATCATTGGATTATTATTGATACAGTAAGATTTTTTTATCATTTTATAATATTTTATTAATTATTCAAAATCTGTTGTTTGATCGATCCGACGATGCAAAAAGTTAAGACATGAACCTTTTGTGCTTGATCTATATATTGCATCTCTGATTTGTTTTCATTGTCCAACAATGCAGTTTTTACTATTTTTTTCTTCTCTCACGTTTGTGTTTTCTTGTTGTATTCAGTTCGGTTTTTTAATAAAATATGAATTGAACGGTATTTTTTGAGTTTCTAAAATTTAAAACCAAAATCGAATGGTATTAAAATCACAATTTATGATTTGATTTTACAGTTTTAACTGAAAACTCAACATTTAAATAAAGCAAATTTAAAGCTTAAATCGAATACAATATATAAATTTAAATTCATAAAAAATACTATTAGTTTTAAAATTTTATTTATTTAATTTTTCATATAATAAATTCAAAATTAATTTGTTTTGGATAATTTTTTTCTAATTGGGTTGATTTGGAAGTTGGAACAAAAGGTGAAAAAACCGAAACTGAATCGAATTGTAAAATTATATTTTAAACTGAACTGTTAAATGAAATACCCGAACCCAACCACATAACTGGGCTCGGATTAATTTTCGGTTTTCTCAATTTTATTAATCAACCCTACTTGTCGGTATTAATTTGTAGTCCAATTCTTTTTGTATAATCTTTTATACAATGTCTTTGTATTGATTATCGTTTTTATTTTATTAATAAATGTTTATTCCTAAGAATTTATTAAGTGATTTAAAAGGTAAAATGAAAATGTTATTCTTTTTAGAAGTTATGGGCTTGAACAACTATATCTGTAAAATGCAACGTTATCAATTGTTTAAGAAAGTTTTGAACATATATTAATTTATAATAATTCAGATTATTCAAAAAAATGTCTCTTCTTAAGAAAACAAGTTTAATCTAATATTTTTTTTTTTAAAAAAAGATTAATTTAATACATTAAAATTAACTTACTTTATAATATATGTGAAACACTAATTTATAAGGTTTTATTCATCGGCGTATATTGACGCTTCTCAAAATTTAACTATTCAAATATACTAATTAAAAATATTTTTTAAGAATTCAGTGATAAAAGAGAATGTTTTCCTTAAATATCTTAAATTCGAACAGTTGCATCAACAAAGTATATTATCAATTGGTCAAAAAAATTAAACAGATATTACTTTGTAATGACCGCGTACCACTAAAAAAAAATCTTAAATCTTAGATGTTCGGATAGAGAAAAACAAAAAACAAAACAAAATTGCATCGTGTTGTTGAAAATATATAGTGGCGGATCTAACCTAACTCGGTTGTAACCCAATATTAAAAATGGGGAAGAACGATGCTTTTGTTTGGAGATTTTTTGGTGGCAAAGGATGGAATATGGAATACGTCCCATAATTTGTCTGCTACACCAGGTTTGGTACTAATTTGTTCAACTTCTATTTTTCTTCATAACATATTTGGACGCGAGTATAAAAATACACTTCTTTAAATCTATAAAATAAATTAAAGATTATTTGGACACAGATAATGGTGGATTAACCATAGTTGATTCCCTACGAAACAGTTAACCTGGCACTTTAAGTTCAATAATCTCTGATAGTAGCTTTTACAATGTTGTTCGAGGCTGAGCCACTATTTTTCCTCTTGCAGTCTCTTCGGTTTCAATGGTTTTGGTTCTGATGGATTTTTCCATTGGACATGATGCAAAATTCTTCAAGGCCGATACTGTACATGCAACGATTTGATATATTCATTCTCCTCGGACCCCGTCAAGGCCGATACTGTACATGCAACGATCAGATTCCATGACTTCTTTTTCGCGTGTTTGGATTCGGACAACTCCCTATGTTTTCTCTTCTTCACATCTATCGACCTTTCAAAAAATTTCCGTTTCTACAAATACATATCCTTCGATTTGAATGAAGACACTTGCACGAATGACCGCCGAAACTCGTTGCGTAGGTCGATTTGGCGGCAGAAAAGTCTCGACTCACTTTGATCACCGTAACCGGTATTTACATGGAACTGACACTATACATATATGTTGCCAATGTACAGTACTTTAAAAGGACTTTGAAGACCTATTTCCTTTCAGCTTTATGTCGAACAAGATTGAAAAAAACCCAAATTCAGCTTACCGTCAACATGACCATAGTCCCTCGATGCCTCAACAACTATTACACTGCTACTGCTTTGTGTGTATTTATAGACACAAAGCTGCTTGACGATGATGGCGGATTTCGTAACGTGCCATTCATCGGTGTTATCGTTGATATTGTTAGACGTGATTGGCTTTTGCCTTCCATCGGCAACCTGATCAGTGGTTGTATAGCTACCGTTGTATGTGTAGCCACCATACGCAGCCATTGCCTAGCTTAAGGTTTGCTCTTTCTTTCTCTTTTAAACTACTGGGATGTTTCCTTATCAAAAATGTTGAGATGGAAGCTCTCTTTATATAGAAAATTTCATATAAACAATAGAAATTGTTCCCTTTTTAACTTTATAGTGATAAAAAATTCCATTTCAAAGTCTTCGACCTATTATATACAGAGTCGCGTATTCTTATTTTTTTTTTTTAAATTAAATATCTAAAAGATCATGTTCTCCTATTCATTTTTAATCATATCTCAAATATTAATGTTAAACATATGACATAAAATTCATCATTTAATTCAATTGAGCACTTTGAGAATTGAGATTCCCAAGTTCTGAGAAAATTGCTTGAAGAATCATATTCTTTTGATTTTTTTTTTTGGATAATGACATCCATTGACGGATGTAAATAGTGTTTGGGTAGGTCGGCATTCATTTTGAAATCTGAAATTTTCATGTTAGTTATTCATTTTACTGATAATGTCTATTCTGAAATTTTATTTATGGTTACTCTGTATAAAAATTTCTATTACCAATATATATACTTATCATCAAAAATATTTTTAGATCTGCAGTGATGATATCCATTAGCTGCATGAAATATGCAATCTCTTGGTATCACAATATCAGTATGTCAAACAAAGCGCATAATACAGTTTACAATCTTGAAGAAAAAGAAGAGAACCAGCAATTTGATGTGAATTGTCACAATCTCATTAATTTACCCAGTAGACTTGATAATTTAGAACCAGAATAAATGGATGAAAAGTTGAAAACTACCGCCACAAAGAAGAAAAGAGAACATTCAAGTAGTTTATCAAATTTAAAAGCATGCTTTACTACTTTTTAGCTCAATAGATACCCCATAGATAACAAGAGGATAACAATTCAAACAAGTTGATTGTTTTCAACAAAATTACATGAATAACGCGATGGAAAAATTTTTGTTCATATAAGATGTATCAAAAACTATTTTTTTAATTAGGGTGATTGGTACAATAATCGAGAAAATTGATAGAACTCCATGATGATTTTTTGAATTAGGGTGATTGGTATAATAATCCAGACAACTTTAATAATCATCTTAATTGAAAACAATTTCCGCTACATTTTATATGGGCAAATTGCATTCACCACAATATTCAAGAATTTTTACCGGTACCCAATGAGTACACAGGCTCAACAGAGCAGTCACAGACAAATGAAACAAACACAGTGTTAAATTGACAAAATTATAGGTGAAGCATCAAATTACTCGCATGCTTTCTGTAAACAACTAACCAGCCTCCCCAACAATCCTTGAAATATAGATAAATAATAAGCTGCCACTCACCTGCTCCCACAGTCAACAAAATAACCTGCCCTGGATCACTCTTATATAATTATTAATATAATGCAGCTTTAATTAATTTAATTTCTCCGGTTATTAATAAATATATTCTATCACCTTAACAAGTTGTTGAAGATGGAAATTGACATGTCAAAGATAACTCTTCGCCCATTCAAGCTAGAAGACGCCGATGACTTCCTCTTATTCGCAGGCGACGATCAGTTCACCGAGAACCTGAGGTGGAAAACACTGGCTTCAAAGCAAGAAGCTTTGGATCACATCAAGGATGTGTGTATTCCCCATCCATGGCGTCGATCAATATGCATCGACGATCGTTCGATCGGGTTCGTTTCTATATTTCCATTCTCCGGCGATGAAGACAAACATAAGGCCAATTTTGGATATGGCGTTGCGGTCAAGTATTGGGGACATGGGATTGCGACGAAAGCAGCGAAACTGGCAGTGTCTCGATTCTTTCTTGATTTCCCAGAAGTGGTAAGGCTTGAAGCATATGTGGACGTGGAGAATTTGGGTTCTCAAAAGGTTGTTGAGAAGGCAGGGTTTCAAAAGGAAGGGTTGTTAAGGAAATATGCATTTATTAAAGGCAAATCAAGAGATTTGGTTTTATATAGTTTTTGTCCACTGATTTTCCTGTTGCTGCAGGCGAAGGTTGTCATAGTTAAGCCGTGAGAGCTTCTCTATGAAAAGATCGTAGGACTTAATAATTTCATGTAGATTCCCTCGTATGTTTTGATGTCCAATAAATGTATTGTTTTTGTACTAGTTTATAATATAGTGTTCGTGTTAATTTTGATGCTTGTGGTAAAACAAAATTCAAATAAGGGAAAAATATAAGAAAAATTGTTCATATACATATTATATAAAAATTGTTCGAATATTACTGGACATATTTGAATGACCCAAAATCATAACATCTGAAATCTAAATTTTAAAGCTAAACCATAAATCCTTCAATATCACCCCAAACCCTAACTTTAAATAAAGATAAAAACGGATAGCATCAATATAATCTCACTTATGAAATATTTTTTCCATGCTAAAATTTACTCATAAATGACAACTTTCCCTTTGTTTTTATAGACCTTCTTAATATACATTGCAAAAGATATTTTTTGTACAAAACTGCCGTATTTTTTTCCCCTGGCAGCAGAACAGCAATATATATAAACACAAACAAGCTTTTTCCTTTCCTTATCTTTTTCTCCTTTTTTTTTTAAAATGAAAAATTAAAATACATTACCCACATTTAAGGTAAAGAAACAGAATATTTCTTTTTCACAATTGAGGAGCTTGTAAATTTCCGTTTCAGGGTGTAGAATTTACTGAAATCTCGTGTCAGAGGTGAGCTTGACTGGTCTTGATGCGACGGAATAACGAACCGCTGCAGTGGCTTCATAGCAACCGCGAGTTCCGCAAATGAAGGGCGAAAATTTGGATAGCTGGAAACAATGGGGTAATAAATTAGACTAGATATCTAAAATGATATAACTAAAAACTGTAGAATTCCAAATTTGTGCTTTACTAACGTCTGCCAGCATTCCCAAATTATCCTTGCAACCAAAGGATCGAGTTCCTTGGGAATGTCGAGCCCACGGTTCTGGAAACCAACAGCACCAACAACTTGCATTGGTCCAAGGCAATCTGTGAACAGCAAGTTCCCAAAGAATGACTCCAAAGCTATAAACGTCGCATCTTTACATACAACAAAATAAGCATGTGAGTTTTAAGCTTTGGTTATTTTACCAATTCAGCAGGCAGCGTCAAAACCCATGAGTTTCTGCCAGCAAAATGCAGCCACTTTTAACCATAGTCATCGATAACAGTGAGTTGCAATTAGAAAAACATTTCTGCATAGATACTAGAGTCTAGACATTAATGCAAATATGCAATTAGATGAAGGTGGCAACGATAACTTTTGCAATGAGTTCTGAACTGCTAGAAAAATAAGTAATTTAAACGCCAAGGAAAATTAAGCAACCAGAGTGGAATATAAGTAGAATGCGCAATCTTATAATCTAAGAGATTGAAGATAAATAACTCACTCCTCATTTGAGGGCTCATTGCGAAGTACTTCATGTGCCATCCACTCAGGCTTAAACATAAGACGGTACTAATCAGATACGTCCAGAAAATATCTAAATATTTAGAATTTATGAAATATTTTGACATAGGCTATTGATTTTGATGATAAAAAGGTATTATGCTTCAATCGCGACAACCCAAAATCACAGACCTGCATGGTTGAGTTTCAGGATTGATCAGAAGGTGCATTGCAAAAATTTCAGTCTCATTCTTCAATTCTTATTTGTTTCCTTAGAATGAAATTAAAAAAGGTACATTTAAAAGTGCAGAAGTTAGAAACATTTAGAAGCAAAGTATCCAAATACATTGAAAATCATTTACCTTCACACTCCAGTTTTTATCAACTAAAAGATTAGGAGACTTTAAATCATGGTGCACAATGGTTGGTGTGCTGGTGTGTAGGCAATTCATGCCTCTCGCCTGCAAAATGAAAGCAAATTTGACATTTTATGTGGTTGTCACATTCTTCACAAAAGAATTGCAGAAGCAATCAATTCCATACCACATCAAGAGCCATCTTAATTCTACGCTTCTCATCAATTTGAGAATGAGGGCGATGAAGAACCTGAAATAAGCTTCCCTGAAATGCCAAAAAAGCATTTGCACGATTTAGAACATCAAAGATTATCTGCAAGGAAACATGAACAAATGTGCATGTTGACAACTGCCAACCTGAAGCATTACTTTGCATAATTCAATAAGAAGACAATATGACAATATGCTGGCACAAATGCTTACCTTGGAAGAAACTCGGTAATACTAATTATTGATGGCGCAGTCTACGCATTATTCGCACCTTAAATTAAAGAGAAAAACAAAACTCAGGATCAGTGATCATTTAACTGCCATGATCTTAGGCATATGGATGTTTGTCTGAAGTTATTTAAATGAAAGAAAGAACAAGCAAAATATCAGAAAGAACATTTTTCTATCACTTCGATACAGAAATAAAAGCTTAAAAAGTTGCTTACTTATCTTTTGAACTCATCCAAGTCCTGTAATTCAATAACCATTACCACCCACAAATAGAAACTATTTTTTTTCTTTTTTCTTTTGAAAGAACTCTTAACAGATTAGTGCAAATATCATTTAAAAAGGTAGATTCGTAGCTAAGTTTAAAACAGGGCCAATAGTTCTCACCATGATGCCTTTGGCAAACAATTACATGGATAGCTCAAAACCTATTTCCTTTATGCTAAATAGAGACAGCACAAAGTCACATACAAGATAAAACTGTGATAAAGGGTATAAGCTAACCGTGCCATTCCAGTCAGCATGATAGACCTCACCATAGGAACCTGCTCACAAGAAAATAAAATTTAATAAGAATTAGAGAACTTCCCAAGAAAAGGTAAAAGTTCTTGCAAAGCAAGCATCAGAATACCTCACTGAATTTAAACTCTTAAGGTTTTCATGATGAATAACAGGAGTTCTTGAATATAAAACAAAATAATAATTCAAAATCACAGACGCAAAGTATGGCTAACAGAGTAAAAAAAAATTGTTTATAGGAGAAAAATTACCTTTGCTAACTAGATAAATTCCATATGAAATGAACTTCAATGAGCCATATTCCTTACCTAGTCCAATTCTTTCACCAATATCCAAGTCTTCCCAAGGAATTTCACATTTGCCCACATCTGCATCATCAAATAGTAGATCAACCCTGCTTGTACCACAATCAACTGACGAGCTAAGAATTTCCGGATCCTTTAGTTCGAGATTATTCGCCATATATCTATCCTCGGTGTACTTTCTATTATTGAAGAAATCAGTGTCATTATCTTTCTCTTTAGCCAAATCCTCGCTGCTATTTTGTAAATCATGCCCATTCCTCTTGAGATTACCTCCCTTAAATTTAATGCTTGCATCCTCGGCCAGTTTCAAGCTATTGAACTGACTGGCAGAGGATGCCAAAGATAAGCTAGTATCAGCCAAAGATAAGCTAGTATCAGCCAGAGAATTCCTGATTTTATTATCTCCGCCTGATACATCAAAACCAACATGTGACTTAAAACCATGAGGATGGACCTTTTCAGGATTGGAAGCGCTAGTTGAAGATGACGATGAGTGATTAAAATCATTAGGTTCAAGATTGGTTTTTGGAAAGAGACCCTGCATATAACCATACTCCTTTTTCTGAGGAACCTCGTTATAAGCAGGTTGATTCTTCCCATCAACTACATTATTTCTCTGTCTCTGAAGCTCAACAATTTTGGTTTCGGTAGGTGGTCAGTTCAGCTGGGATGTTTTTCCTCTCCCTTTAATCTGGAATGGATTAAGATCAGCAAAAGATTTTTTGGGTCATCTTGACTACTCTGACCATAAGGCACTACATTGACATTCATCCTCAGGCCATCACCAACTACATTGCCACCACGAGCACCCTTATAAACTGAAGATCCAATGGCAGTAGATGGGAGATGATCCAACTGATTACAGGTCTGTTAGATAATCTGGAAGAACCAAAACCAGAATCACCACTTGGACCAGATAATGAAGACAATGATTCTGCCCTTCCAGAATTCAACCCATTATTGAAGGGCAGACTTCTATTGATCAGAGTATGTTGACTACTGCCTTCACCGTTTAGTGGCTTCACTTTAGAATACTCATCATCAGACAACTGAAGGGCTGGGATACTGCTAATTACCGGATTGTGTGGCTTAAAAGTTGTATCTTTTGCACTTAAAATGTCAGCAGGTATAAGTGTACCAGGAGCTGTCATTAGATCACCAAAAATTCCCTGAGATATAAAAACAGAAGATTAGACCTAAATAAATGTAAAGAGTAAGTAAAGAAAAAAGCACAAGCTATAACCAAAAATTCAGATTCGATCATGTAGGCAACCATAGTCCATGACTCTCTGATGCCAACATCCACTAATGGATAACCAACTCTACCTTGTCTTTATGCCTTGAAATAACTCTCATTGATAACCCAAGAGAAGAACATAACATGCCCAAGAATAGTCCTTTCATGGCTGTAAGGATGGTAAAAACTCAAGTATCTCCGGTACCCTCTCAAACCAATTGATTTCAGAAATAAGTTTACACTTTCTTCACTAGCCTTTTTCCTTTCGTTAGTCCAAATGGGGGTCGCGGTTGAACTTCAATACAAATAAAAAATCTCCAAATGGGTAGCAGATTCTTCTTCCTCGCAAAACCCTTATTTAACTCTAAATTCCCAAATCCACATTCCTTCTCTACCTCTTTCCTCATAACCAAACTCTCAAGGAAACATAACCCAAACTCGACATTCCCAGTACCAAATTCGTCACACCTGACCCCTACAAAACCCCCACTTCGAATCGCTCCTCATCCGTGACACCAAATTCTGACTCCTCGCCAAAACCCATTTAGCGCAATTCAGCAGTAGCAGTCGCCAAAAGGGGCTCTCTGCTTCATGCTGAAGCATTAATCCCACAGCGATGCAGTACGCGAAAGGAGAACAAGCGTGGTGTTATAAATAAGAAGCAACTAGCACCATTACAACATACTTACCTGGGCGGGGTCAATGGTTGATCAACAAGGCCCATGGCCTAGGTAAGCGACTTCCATTGCACTTGGGAGGGGCGCTTGCCTAAGATCTCCTCAAAGTAGGAGAACCTACGTCATAATTTGTGGTAGTGGGGTCTGCGTTCGCGCGGCCTCTGTCCAATTTCAGTATAAAGTTCTATACTCTTAGTCTGTTATTATCATTTGTGTTAATATGAGGTATTTGAATTTGATATTCGTTTCATCGGTTTGATGATCGAACTTGCATTTGTTGTCTACAAAGAGGGTAATTTAACAGTCATTTTGATGGATTTAATTGTGTCTGTAGTTCACATGATTAGTTTACCGACTGAAGTTGCTAAGATTTTTTGTCAAACCTGAAACACAGAGTACCTACTTCAGTTTTCATCTTCACAAATAGTACAAGTTTCAATTCGAACTGCACTCTATTACTCCATCTTCTCAAAGGTACTTTGTCTAATTCTGCACGGCTAGCCAGAGCTAAACTACCGAGAAACTTGGGGCTGATAAGACGAATCTTACTTGATTCATGTGTGTAGAAAGTAGTTTTCTGATAAATTACGATATCATTAAATATGTTTTGTTTTGTTTAATCTTGCAACAAACAGAGGCTCCAATACCATTACCAGATGGTGGATATCACCTTGCTATAATCTATAGAAAATCTAACACGGCAAAGCTACCTTATTATTTTAGTGTTTCCTGATAACCCGAGAAAAAGAGAAGCATCCATTGGAAACTTTGGCACGCTGTTTGAAAACCAAGTTAAGGAAGACCACCTGTTTGGCTTCACAATTCAAATATTAGGATAACCTTAATGGATTCTTTGAAGATATTTTAGGTTTAATTAAGGATTTACCTTGAAATCCAAGTGAATATAGGCAAATCATGGAATCGCCTGTGAAGGGAAAAACCATTAGTAGTTTGAATAAAGAGCGATTTTATGCTGAAGTAATATCCCACATTGGGGAAGTAGGATCACTTATTTGGCATTATAAATAAAAGGTAGCTACCTCATTTCAACATACTTACCTGGACGGGGTCAATGGACGATCATCAAGGTTTATGACCTAGGTAAGCGACTTCCATTGCACTTGGAGGGGCGTTTGTCTAGGTCTCCCACTGTGGGAGAGCCTACGTCATAATTTGTAGTAGTGGGGGCCTGCGTTCGCGCGGCCTCCTTCCGATATGAGACGTAATTTTTCCTCCTTGTTTCCTTTGTATTGCCTGGGTTTAGTTTCTTACGTAGGACTTTTTTTTAGTTCTTGAAATATCTAATCATAATCCAATCTATAATTATGGGCTGGAAAGTGTATGCAATGGAAACACGACATTTTATTTATATCAAAAAATGCATTGAAACATGATTGTTGTTTTGTTTAATCTCACAACAGACTAGTTATTTTATCAAATATTACACTAGACTAGTTATTTCATCAAATATTACACTAGACTAGTTATTTCGACAATCCATCCATATGAAAGATTGACATGCCGCTCGACAACTAATTTCTGACATCTTGATGCTTGGATTTGGTACATTTCAAGGCTCGAAAACCATGTTCTCCGCTTCACGTTTCACAGACTCGAACAGCACAGTAGAGAGATAACGCTCTCCGAAGCTAGGGAAGACCACCTGTTTATGTTCGAAATGTAAAAGATTAGGACAGCTTTAGTTTTGTGGTACCAGAAATAGGAATGTATCTTCTCAAGTCATCATTTCGTGTTATTGGTATTGCCTTCAATGGCATGCTTAGACAAAATAATGCAGGATTGACTTCAAAAATAAACAAATAAAGACTTACAACAATGAGTTTCCCAGCGTTCTCTGGCTTCTTGGCTATCTTAATTGCAGCAGCAGCAGCAGCACCAGACGATATACCGACCTGTAATGTGTTCCGAACAATTATCAATTACGGACACCACAGAACGAGTCCGAAGAAACTTGTGAATTCAGTTTACGGGTTAATAAGTAGGTTTAAGTCTATTGATTTCCTTATCAAGTTATATCACTTAAAGTGAAGGAACTTACCAACAATCCTTCTTTCAAAGCAAGTTGCTTTGCAGTTTCAATAGCTTCTTCACTCGATATCTGCAGTCATACAAGTAACAAACATTACAACAAAAACAATAGCCTACGTGCGTGGAAGAAAAGCTACAAACGGAGACAACCTATGCTCATAAATGTCAAATAGGTCATATTTCCTTCCTATAGTCCTCTAAAATATATATATAAATCCTAGTAGGAGAATCTATGCTATTCCAACTCTTCATTTTGTTGAAGTAATAGTGTCCGACACATATTTGGACATAGACATGCAAATATGACCTTCAAAGGATTGTCCAAATAACAGAGCAACATAGTGTGGAAGTAACAAAAACCGTTAATTAATTATGGCATCGGAAAAAATGCAAGCTAATTTGCATGCCCTATATAACAACATATAATATGTATTGATCCTAGATGATAAGAAAGCAGGTTGTAAATTATGGTATAGGAAAAATGCAAGTTCTTTACACTTCCACATAAAATAGCATTTATATCCCACACTGACCGAAACATAATCAATGAATAAGTACAACGAGACTTACTTGAACAATGTCATCAAGTAAATTGACATCTAAGACGCCAGGAATGAAGCCAGCACCAATTCCCTGGATCTTGTGCGGACCTTGAACATTAAAAATGCCGCAATTAATCAATAGGTAGAACTTTGTTATAAAATTCTACATTAGCATAAGGAACAAAAGGAAACAAGTTTCAGTTAACAATGCCAGATCTAAGAGACTAAAGGCAATATAGCATGCTGGTTATTACAGGAAAATACAAGGAAATCCTGAAAAATATACGCGTGACGACACTCACACCCGAGTCAGAATAACATAGATCCTATCTACTCAACTAGATGTTATAGATTGTAGAAAAGATGGAAAACGTTACAAAGAACAATGTGAAAAGGAAGCACTGTAACATTATGACTTACCGGGTTTCCCTCCGGAAAGCACTGCACTTTCAACTGGTTCCACACCAACGACCTGAACAAAAAGGATAAGGGGCAATATAAGCAATACATTAGGACACTTGTGCATAAACGTTATTACTAATTGAAGTCAAAATTTATTCCCCGTAATTGAGCATTGGAAATCTAACCTTAATGTCAGGATTCCGCTCTTTGAGATACTTCCCTGCTCCAGTTACAGTGCCTCCTGTCCCAATACCCGAGACAAGAATATCTATCTTCCCTCCAGTGCCTTTCCATATCTCTGGTCCTGTTGTCTCATAATGTATCTAAATCAGGAAAGAAGAATCAGATCATAACACCCTCCTAGACTCCAACACCAAATATGCATGGAAAATGCTTCAAAATGATACCTTTGGGTTGGCAGGGTTTTCAAATTGCTGAAGAATGTAAGAATTATGCGTTTTTTGCATGAATTTCTTCAGCTTTCTGAACAGCCCCTTTCATACCCGTGCAGGATCTGTAAGAACTAGCTCAGCTCCAAAAGCTCGGAGGACCATTCTCCTTTCTAAACTCATTGAAGAAGGCATTGTAATTATGAGTCTGTAACTCTTAGCAGCTGCCATGAATGCCAATCCTATTCCGGTATACCACTGGTTGGCTCAATCAGGACACTCTTTAGCATATAGGAAAAAAAAGGAAACTATGTAGTTAAAGCTTCTCTGTTAAGTTTATTACTCAGAACTACACGGAATGATAACATTGAGACAGCCCTACTTTTTCAAATAAAAATGTTCAGATACAGAATTAAAAGGAACAAAAATAGAAGCTATGCTGCTCCAACTCTTCATTTTTCTAAGTACCCATGTCCAACACCTGTGCTCAATGCATATCCAGACATGGGTATGGGATACGATCCTCATTCCTTCAAGACTTTCCAAATATATGGAAATCTTGAAAAAAAAATGAACATCCGTGTCACAAATGTAACGGTGCTCGACAGTTGCACCCGAGTCGAGTAAAATAGCATAAAGGCCTGGGGACTCAACAGAAACGCTTTTTCAATTGACAACAACGCATAATTTCATCTTATGGCACAGAGACAATAGTATAATCTGAAGCTTTGAAGAGTTCTATGAAACCTATGTTATCCCCAATCTTAATTTTTATTGAAGATCCGTATCTGACACATTTACAGACATGGGTATGGGATATGACCCTCTAAATATATGAAAAATCTTGTATAAATTTGAACATACCCGAGACACATATTGCATTTAACACTTACACTAGACAAAGTAAACATAGATTGAAACTGCTATTTCAAGGAGGTTCATGGTGCAACAAGTTTGATTATCATTAGCATGTTTTAAACTAGAAATATCAAATGAATAAAACAATCACTCTATTTGGGTACGAAAAACTTAAAAAGCATTTTCCAGCAATAAGGCCTAACATCGTTATCATAAGAGACTAGAGAAGTCGATGCATAATTTTACTTGCAAAGGAAAGGTGATTAAACATTAACTTAAAATTTCCATTCCATAAATGTCTCGGATAGAAATATACAAATACCAACCTCGCCCGGTGTAATGAGACCCTTCCTCTGCATCCGCAATCATACTATATCCGATCCTGCAAAGAAAAGAAGGGTTTGCAACCCATCAAAGATTATAAACTCAGTCTACATGACTGAATGTGGTATAATAGAATCGTTAACGATAAAATCATGTTTGACATATCATCTGACACAACTTTGATTGAATTGCGAAGTGGAAATAGTTTATACCTGTCCTTGACACTGGAGCAGGGTTCCATTGCCTCCAACTTCGCAGCAATTGGGCGACACATCCTCGGCAATGTTGTTCAGATATACCAATGGCGTTCTACCAATCAACTTTTATACCAAAACCAAGAAATTTAACAAGGTTAGCAATAGTTTTCTTACATTAATCAAATATAAATTGCTGTAATTTATTAACAAAGATGATCATTGGCTTACTTCAGTGACATCTT